TGTTTTCTATGTGAATCTCTGTTAAACTGTAATTTATTTCTGTGATGCGCAGCTGTATTTTCAGCATCATTACTCCAGTCTTCAGTGTCACACGATCTTCAGAAATCATTCTAATATGCTGATTTGCTGCTCAAGAAACATTTCTGATTATTATCAATGTTGAAAACAGTTGTGATGCTTGCTTTCTTTTCTCGAGGATTATTTTGATATCTGGAAAGTTTAAAAAGAACAGCATTTATAGCATATTTTTTGATCAATTTAATGTGTCCTTGCTGAATAAAATTAATTTCTTTAAAAAAAAAGAAACCAATTCATCTGAATGGTAGTGTATGCCAAAAATGACCTAAAATATTTAATAAACAGAAATGCATTGGCCGGGTCGTTGTATGCTTGTTAATTAAATATTTTGGCTAATTTGATGATGCATTATAATCAACTGCAGAATCATACCAGGCTATCAGACAAAAGTCCTCACATTTATGTTGGTCTCAACTCATGAATGTCAAGAAGTCTTGTTTTCCAGATGCGTAACACTCCAGTGTTTGTGTTCGGCTGATTTAGGGTGAAGATGGAGAGCAGGAGGAAGAAAGCAGCAAAGAAAAGCACAGTTCAGGTGAAAGATGAAGATCTGTACGGCGGCTCTACTGATGAGAACACGGATGCTGAGGAAGAGGAGGATAAACCCATCCCTGAACTGCCAGGTCTGCCTCACCGCTTCATCTTGACATGGATGTCTTGAGTATTACATTTATTAAAGGATTAGTTCACTTCCAAAATATACATTTCCTGGGTATTTACCCTCCCCCATGTCATCCAAGATGTCTCTGTCTTCAGTCGCAAAGAAATGGTTTTTGAGGAAAACGTTCCAGGATTTTTCTCTGTATAATGGACTTCAATGGGGACCAACAGGCTGAAGGTCCAAATCACAGTTTCAGTGCAGCTTCAAAGAGCTCTACACGATCCCAGCCGAGGAATAAGAGTCTTATCTGTGCATCTGTGGTTAAAAAGTATTTATAAAACAGATAGTTCCGGTGCTTGTTTCTGATTGGCTGAGCCGCGTTCGAAGCTGTTGTAAATGACTCTACAAAGTAACATACACCTTTGTTTACGTTTGTCTGTTGCTCGGCAACCACTTTGTAGCAACCACAACTGTTTCTGAGGAGCTACATTGTTTGGTGGAAGAATACTGTTTGTATTAATATCATTACACTTTATTTGCTCTGTTTTATTTTGTGGAACCTTACTACGTATATGTGAATAACCGTTTTATAAAAGCAATAAGCCCCGTGAAGCCGTGGTTTACAGTGAATTTATAACAGCTAAGGGGGTTTTAGGCACTCCACTGTAAACGATGGCTTCTTGGGGCTTATTTCTTTAATACATGTTTATTTTGTTCATAAAATTAGCGATGGTTTGGCTAGATAAGACTCTTATTCCTCGGCTGGGATCGTGTAGAGCTCTTTGAAGCTGCTCTGAAACTGTGATTTGTACCTTCAGCCCCTTGGTCCCCACCATTATATGGAGAAAAATCCTGGAACGTTTTCCTCAAAAACCTTAATTTCTTTGCGACTGAAGACAGAAAGACATGAACATCTCGGATGACATGGGGGAGGGTAGATTTCAGGAAACTTTTATTCTGGAAGTGAACTAAACCTTTAAAAAAAAAAAACTTTGTTTTTGCTCCTTCAGACTTCCTAACAGGAAAACGCTTCTATCTTTACGGCAAGTTCCCTGACAACCAGAAAAGGCAACTTCAGCGCTACATCATCGCCTTCAACGGGTACGAGACAGACGTGCATTCAGATAATTGCGAGAGCGTGAAGCATCCGTAATCCGTTTGAAGCGCTTCAGAGGAATGGCATTAGCGTCGGCAGGCCTTCGAGAGGCTGTAGGTGGAGCGTGACCGATGAAATGATCTGATCTGTTTGATTCCTCAGAGCTGTCGAAGACTACATGAGCGAGAAGGTCCAGTTTGTCGTGACCAGCGAGGGATGGGACGAATCGTTTGAGGATGTGAGTCTTGCGTCTTTCTTCTTTTTCAGCTTTGTAGGTAGTACAGTGTTTCCCCTGCCATTATATTAGGCGGGCGGCCCGCCCCCCTTGAAGGTCAAGTTAATTTTATTTAATTATATTTTCTCTATAGCGCCAGATCACAACAGAAGTCATTTAAAGTTACCTTTCCTATAGAACACGTCTATACCTTGTTCTTTTATCAAACGAACTAAATAGCCTTATGTTATTTATCTAATTTACACGACGGCATGTCATTTCAGTCTCTACGTTATGGTCGCGCTCTCAGTCTCTATCACGCACAGCGGAGTTCCGCCCGATGCGTGCACACACACACACACACACACAAGTGAGCCCACTCCCACTAGTATTTGTAAATATTAAGCCGCAAAACGATTCATATTTAAATATGAATTCTGCGTGTCTCTGTGTTAATGAATGGCGCAGATGCACGGTTTTGTTTACTACTCGTACTGAAGCGCGCGTGACACTTCCGGTGATATTAGCATCTGTCGTCTCACTAAATGAGGACATAAATACATGAACAACATCTCCAGAACTGCTCTGAGAGTCACTTCATGAGCACTTGACCGTTTCATTTGAGTAAAACTATCCTCATATCATACACACACAGAAATGTAACGGTCATGCTAAAACAGAATTTGGTTACAATAAAACATAAGGTTGGAAAAATAAAAAATTTCATAGGGCCCTAAACATGTAATATTTGTAAAACTTTAAATAAATTGATGTTAAATTGTTTAAGTTGCATGATTTTAATTAATTAGACATGCTTTTTGATTAATAAAATGTAATTTAACCATTAAAAAGGACTCCAGAAAAAACAACAACAACGGAACCCCAAAAAAAGAAATTTTGTCCTGATTGTGTCAAGTTGCAGGCTTTTTCATATCGTTGTGCTTTTAATAGACCGGACATTTGAAAGGCTTTGAGAAAGTCTTCACCCGACAGCACATGTAGATCTGGTTCTGTTCATCGCGAGTCATTCGTGTGATGTTCTTCGGCAGTGCTGAAGTAGTAATGAAAACCCTCGGCCTTCAGCTCTTGCCACTCTTTTAAACGTCTCAAGGTCTATTCTTCCTTTTCATCTTCCTTTACAGCCTCTTCTGTGTTTTTTTTACAGGCCTTGATGGAAAATGGCAATCTGAGCTTTGTGAAACCTACCTGGATTTTCGCCATCAATGACAGGCAGAAGATGCTACCGTACCAGCCCTACACTGTCGTCCCTTAAGAGCGTGTTTAAGTCGTTTTGCTCTGAGAACACAGCCATCAATCTCAGCCTTGACCTGAACAGATCTTAGCCGTCTTAGAGGAATAGTTCGACTTACGAATTAAGCGTTTACTCGCCCTCATGTCGTTCAAAACCTGTATGACTTTCAGTATTTTTGTTTTGCCGTTCTGTTAAACATCTTTTGGGATCCATCATACAGGTTTGGAGGGATGCGCGAATGAGTAAATGATGAATTAGCATTCCTGTTGTTAAACTTCATTGGCCTGTATCCATCACAAGTCTTTGTTTTGATGTTGAAAACCGGACTAATGGCAGATACCAACCCACCAACCCCGAGATAAAAGACTGATCCATATTCATGACCTGTTTTACCAGCAATCCAAAAGCTGTTTAAATATTAATTACTAAAGACCTGAACCTGAGGTCCCTTTTGGATCTGACTTATGCAGAACATACTCATTTAATATGTATGTTCACATATATGGTCAATTATTGATTTAGATTTTCCATATTTACATTTGCCGCCCTCATTGCTTTGCTCAAGACAGAAGCGTTTTAGTATCTCTAGGTGTGGCCTACAGAATATCACAATAATATTGCTTTGGTTTTGAGCTTTTTGAATATTCAAACAACCATATTTATGAAAAAAAGCACCTGATATAAATACTGCTGTAAAAACATTTTTTTTAGTTGTATTTGTAGGAAATTTATGATAGGTGAACTCGCAGTTTTAATGTTTGATGTTTACTTGTTTTTAACGTGTCTCAATTTTGATGTTTTTTGTTGTTGTTTTCTTTTTTCTTTAAATGAAATTCATATTTTGAAATTCTGGTTTGAAGCAAGAATAAAAGTGGAAACTAGTTCAATTTTAGAAGGTATTCAAAAGGTATCTTTCTCGTGATTTTAATATTTTTCTAGTTCTGTTCTGTTTTCATCTTAACAATTCAAAAGCTTCATACCTCATGTGTTCACTGCTGATCTTCGCTGGTTTAAACCAGCTGACCAGTGTCCAAAACCATGAATCTAAACCATCTTAACTAGTTTGGTGGTTGTTGCAGCAAACCATTTAATTAGGGTGTTTTATATTTCAGCAGGGATTAATCAAAGAGAATTCCGAATTCGTACAGAATAGACTGTCCTTGAGTCCTTTTCTCTTCCTCAAACTAATCTTAACTTTTTTTTTTAGCTAGATGTGTCTCAGGCAGAAGATGCTACCGTACCAGCCCTACACTGTCGTCCCTTAAGAGCGTGTTTAAGTCGTTTTGCTCTGAGAACACAGCCATCAATCTCAGCCTTGACCTGAACAGATCTTAGCCGTCTTAGAGGAATAGTTCGACTTACGAATTAAGCGTTTACTCGCCCTCATGTCGTTCAAAACCTGTATGACTTTCAGTATTTTTGTTTTGCCGTTCTGTTAAACATCTTTTGTGATCCATCATACAGGTTTGGAGGGATGCGCGAATGAGTAAATGATGAATTTGCCTGTATCCATCACAAGTCTTTGTTTTGATGTTGAAAACCGGACTAATGGCAGATACCAACCCACCAACCCCGAGATAAAAGACTGATCCATATTCATGACCTGTTTTACCAGCAATCCAAAAGCTGTTTAAATATTAATTACTAAAGACCTGAACCTGAGGTCCCTTTTGGATCTGACTTATGCAGAACATACTCATTTAATATGTATGTTCACATATATGGTCAATTATTGATTTAGATTTTCCATATTTACATTTGCCGCCCTCATTGCTTTGCTCAAGACAGAAGCGTTTTAGTATCTCTAGGTGTGGCCTACAGAATATCACAATAATATTGCTTTGGTTTTGAGCTTTTTGAATATTCAAACAACCATATTTATGAAAAAAAGCACCTGATATAAATACTGCTGTAAAAACATTTTTTTTAGTTGTATTTGTAGGAAATTTATGATAGGTGAACTCGCAGTTTTAATGTTTGATGTTTACTTGTTTTTAACGTGTCTCAATTTTGATGTTTTTTGTTGTTGTTTTCTTTTTTCTTTAAATGAAATTCATATTTTGAAATTCTGGTTTGAAGCAAGAATAAAAGTGGAAACTAGTTCAATTTTAGAAGGTATTCAGAAGGTATCTGTCTCGTGATTTTAATATTTTTCTAGTTCTGTTCTGTTTTCATCTTAACAATTCAAAAGCTTCATACCTCATGTGTTCACTGCTGATCTTCGCTGGTTTAAACCAGCTGACCAGTGTCCAAAACCATGAATCTAAACCATCTTAACTAGTTTGGTGGTTGTTGCAGCAAACCATTTAATTAGGGTGTTTTATATTTCAGCAGGGATTAATCAAAGAGAATTCCGAATTCGTACAGAATAGACTGTCCTTGAGTCCTTTTCTCTTCCTCAAACTAATCTTAACTTTTTTTTTTAGCTAGATGTGTCTCTAATTTCTATCCCTCGTTAAAGAAATCTGTCTTTCTTTCACTTGTGTCCGTCTTATCACGACCTAGCGGCAGAATCACGCTGTCTTTCTTACAGAATAACAGTGGATTGACTTTGTCCTCTCTACTAAGTCTTGGTATTTTTGTTGAATTATTCTCTTGTCCTTCACTCAAGTATTCATCTTCCTGAGCTTCTCAATCTGTTTTGTCTCTGAATTACATAAACTCACCTGCATCAGCACATGCTTCATCCTCTTGTTCTCTGATACCAGAAAAAACAAAACATTAACGTCTTTTCAGTTATTAAAGTTATACATAAAGTAGGAATATGCACCTCTATATGATCCTTTTCTATCTCTTTATATTTCCTTGTAGCGATCTGTACGCTATTTTATCCGTCTTTCAAAGGCGTACTCTTCTGGTGACCGTTAATTCGGTTGGAAAGCAATTTGGCGCGTTAATTTAAATTGTGCGTCACGTGTGCGTTTATCAACGGCTCTTACTGCAGCTCATCCAATCATACATTTAAAACAAACAAAATTTAAACGGTTTATTTTGATTTAAACTGACAATCTGTGCAAATAAAGAAACGCTATTAGTTTTTATCAGCCGTTTGTCACGTCTTGAGGAGAATAAGCCGCGTGAGTTATGGCTATTAACGCTTTATTTTAGCAGTCTTTTTACAGTTTATTTTATGGCGATAATTACTGTTAAAGTAAACGAATATAAATCAGATGAATAGTGAGCAGGAGCGTCTGAGGGAGGAGGAGGCGCACGCCTCTGAAGAACAGAGAGCGCGAAAATGAGAGGCGATCGGGCGCATCATCGGCAGCTTCAGTCGCATCTTTATTATGGTTCTCCATTAATATGAACGAATTTTCTGTCGTTTCGTTGTCGGGATGCGCGTGAAGCTCCTGCTGAATGACAGTAAGTTATTTTTCCCACATTCGTTCTTCACACTTTTCCTCAGCGAGTCCTGCTCCGGGGCTAGTTGTCACAAGGTCAGTCTCTCAATAACTTTGGGCATTAAAGTACTTTTTTTTTTCTAGCACTTGTTTTGCATGTTGGTCATTTCTAAATTCTAAATATTATATATTTGACATACATTAAGGCATTATATTATGAAGGTAGATTAACCGAAGCTGCTCGGGACTAGTATTTTTTTTTTTCTTCATAATTGACAGCTCGGGGCAAATTGTCACACATGTTCAGTTAGTAGGTTAATTATAATACCTATTAGCCAAAACAATGGTTTGGTACGTGTAACTTTGACGTTTATTGTTTCATAATTGTTTATACCGTTAAAATTCAGCTGAAATTGTCAACGTACCCCGATATAGTGGGACAACATGCCCCGATATTGGGATTAGCGGACTGTACAATATCTTTAAAATAAACACCATGAGAAATATTAATCAAAGTGAAATAAATGACACTAAGTCACAACTTGCCCCGGTCTCCTCTAATATCTCCAAGCGGTTTTGTACATGTGTTTGTTTCTTTGGATCTGTTTCACGATTAATACTGACACTTGCTCATTAATTATTTATTTCAAGTCATTGAAAATGTATGTTGTACTGAAAAATCATGTGAGCTGAGGTCCAAATGTCTTGAAATCACGAATGAAAATGCTTCTGCTTTAAATGTTTGTAATTTAATACAAAGGTTTTCATTACTAACCAGTGATATTTGACATTTTGTATTTAAATGTTAAATTAAAACTCATGGAGAATGCGAGAATGTCTCCAAGGAGCATCTTGAGCTTGAATGGAAGAAGAAAATCTGTACAAAGATTCACTTGAGATTCAATTACATGCAATTGATTAGTCACATAGAATTAGCGAAGAATCTGAAAGTTTGTGACCCCATCCCAGATAGCACAGGTGCGTCTGCAAGACGTCTGTTAAAGATCGCTTCATCTGGAAAGCATCTGCTGTGTGCAAACATCTGATAGACGTCTCTAAGATGTCAGTTTTACATTCAATCTAAATCATAAACATCTTAAAGACATCTTCTAAACGTCTATTTGACATCTGATAGGAAACGTCCTTTAGACATATTTCAGATGAGCAAACACTCTGAAAAATACATCTTGAAGAGGTAATGCAGACGACAAATAGACATCTCAGTGATGTACGTGTGCTATCAGGGATAGCGTTTCTCTTAAAAAAAAAATAAAATATATATATATATATATAAACTGTTTATTTCCATGTTTAAATGCCTGTTTGTTCAGGCTTTTGCACTTTTTGTCTCTTTTTCCCCTGTTTACATTTGCAGTCCTGTTTGTCTTGCTGTAAGATTATGCAAATTTCCTACACAAAAAGAAAACACTTCCCTCTTTGGCTCTTGATCACTTGTCTGGTGCTCTAATAACATTTGTAGATTTGTGTGGGTTTATGCGCGTCCCTGATCATATGAGTCGTCACCTAACAACAACACAAAACATTAATGCAAACAGTGCCAGCGTTGCTTGAAAAGCGACTCATTTTAAATGCAACAACGGCGCATCTGTGAACAATCGCTGACACTGCCAGGATTCCTATTGTGTGCTCACTTCTGTTGTATTCGCATTTACGCGTGGATGCAATAATCTCTGGCGCAGTTCTAAGGAAATGCATGTTTATTTTTTATTTGTGCTTCTATTTCAGGACACGTTATGTGTCGTATAGTTACAACTACACACATTCATATGTTCATGTATCTATTAAACTCTTTGTTGTTCAAGAGAACTGCTAAAATATGGATCTGAATCTGAGCTCTGCGGTGGTTAATGAAGCCGTTGAGGCACTGAAAACGAGCGACACATTCCTCTGCAGCAGATGAGATCCTTATTACTGGCCACCGTAAAAGATTCATGTGAGCTCCACTCGAGCAACGAAGCGCTCAAACCCTGAATCTCATGAAACCTGTCAAGAACATGTTCATATTGCAGCCTGTTTTAGGATCATTAAGGTCAATGTGAAAGTGTGAACGCTTTCTTAATGCGCGTTCCTGGTCATAATGTTTCATGCAAATGTAATAACTTGCTTCATCTGATGCCTGTCATATAGACATGTTTCCTCATTCCTGGATAAAATCAAGTCCTGACCTACATTTGCTTTCTTAGAGAAAAACCGGTTTCAAATTTTGGAAGTGAAATGCAGACCTGCAACCTGTACGCATTTTGACCTCAAAGTATGATTTGTCGCTCTAAACTACGCAAAAACCTGGTGACGCCCATCCATGCGCAGTACTCAAATCAAGCAACAGCAAAAGAAGAAGAGTTCGACCAATCAGAGCGCTGAGTTCATTCCCCAAATAGCAAGCGGGGAGGATTGACAAATGCGTAAGGCCTATCATTAAAAAGAGAC